TGTATCCACTGTATTTAGTTATCGTTTAGTGGATGATATTAATTTGTACATATTAATTTATTTTGTGGTTAATTTATTTTCTTTATTTTTTATCTGCATCATTTGAGACTGACTTGCAGAGAATATCTAAGCCTTTAATTCATGTGTACTGTGCACTAAACGTAAATAAATAAATACAGCACATTAATTATCTTTAAAAAACTGATAACCGGCTTTAAAGTGCATAATAATGATGAATGCACAAACATCTTACATTATGACATTACATTACAGGTACATTAATTTATTTAAATAGTTAGTTATATTATTTTATTATGTTACATGTAATGATTGCACGGATGGCGTAGTGGTTTAAGCGGATGCCACGCCGCTCACTACTACGCTGAGTGTTGTGGGTACGATCCCCACATGGGACGACACTTTGTGTGATCCACAAATTGTTGTTCTGAGTCTGGGTGTTCTTTGTATCCGTTTTATGTATGTTTGTAAAGTCCCCCGTGACACAGGATATATTTCTAATAAATAAAATATAATATATTAAAATAAATAAAAATGTACATAAAAATATATATTGACTAATTATATTATCAATTATATAGTTGTGTTAAGTTACATTGCGGTTTTTATCTTGGTAAAGTATTGTTAATAATGTTAAGTCTATTGTCGCTTAACTCGGCAGGGTGCATTTAATAATGTACTGTTGGCTAGGGGCGTCAGCAACTGACTGGTCACCGCAGCTTAACTAAAGCTCTCCTTACTATCGGTGTTCTAAGTGTATATTGTTCAGCTGATCGTATTTACGCTAAGTTTAAAAGTAAAAACAAAAATACAGTATAAGAAATTGTAAACATCAAAATATCAGTAGAACAGTTTCTGGTACCAAGAGTTAAAAAAATGTTGTTAATACCTGGATGGTTCTTTTAGAATTCAATAACTTTTTTTTCCATCAATTTGAAGGAACTTTTTCTAGTCTTTTTATATGTTATATTTTAGGGTGGTCTCTTTTTTTTATTCAGTTCATCAACAGCCTTTAATAGTTCACTGCTGGACATAAGCCTCTCTTTAGAAAGGCGGTTTTGGCCTACTATTTATTCAGTTACTAGTCATTTAATTAAAACTGATGAATATCATTATTAAGTAATATACATATAGCGATATATACACATTACTTAATAATGATATTCATAAGTTTTTGGATCGAAGTCAAGTCTCTAAACAAAATGATCGAGTTTGCAGTAAGATTGCAGTAACTCTAAGCGATGAATTAACATTCCTAAAACTGCTGCAATTGCAGTATGCATTCTGCAATCTTAAGATTCTTCAAGAGAAAAAGTATTTTCTCTTAGTGGTTTTAGCTATATTAGCTTAGTCCATAGTCACATAAACTATGAATAAAATATAAAAATATCGTTAGGTGTTATCGACAATTTATCACTATATATGAATTTCTAATATACAGTAGTTTGGCAGCCCTGACTCAACCACGCATCAATCCCGAGTTTATTATCCCATATCCGTTTATGCGTACGCGTGTTTATTTGACTTTGGAATAGTCTCCGACCTAATCGTGTAGAGTATAATAGTTCTACCCAACTATAGTATACGAGCTATAATCCTATGTCGGTAAACTATGACCGTTCTATTGGATAAACCGTTGTTTGATTGATGACACTAATAAAACTGTGATTCCAGTTTAATTTAAATTTAAAGCAATTTGGCGACCCCGTGGTCCTGCTAACCGTAAAATAGGTTCATTACTCGTAGTAGAGCGCCCCATCATTCATCACTACTACTAGTCTAATGAATTTAGAATGGGAGACATTTATCCTGTGAGTGTGAGAAATTTTATCTTTGTAGAAGTAATTTTTATCGCATTTAGTTTGATAACAGCAATATACACATTGACATTAGAACGCGTGAAAAGATAGTGCGTGCTCGAAGTGTTCGTTTTAGGCTGTTTATTATCTAATTACTTGTACAGAGTATTTTAGAGTTTAACAATAGCAGTACGATGGCGATATCGATTGCATTTTTTTTAAATAGTATTTTTCTAAAACTTGTATTTTAATATCCTGGAAATTATTAATCGCTTCGTAGCGTTTCGTAGCAGTTGCTACAGATGCTTAACAAGGAAGTTGAAATACAACTCTCAATAGGGGTATATAATGGTAGTCCGCTGAAGGCGTATGTCTGTACGTAGTACGTGTGCACGTGTCAGGAGGCTCACATTAATCTTACTGAACATGTGCCATGTTCCTCATGATAACTCGATAACTGAGACATACCTACTTATTACGATATTAATAGGCTTTTTCTCTGTAGCCAGTGTTAACATCTCTCTTTACATTTTTGAAATTAAGAGAGCACCAGTGATTAGTCTATAAAAAAATTAATCAGGATCCGCCAGAAGTACTTTTAAATTCACTCCTTTGTCTGCGATTTATTTAAAATAGTGCGATGAACGTCTTTATTACATCTACCTTTATTTGATCTGGTCGACCAGTGAGGATTAAGAACCGTTGTTTAGAGACTTGAAAAAGTCAATCAGTGAATAATATTATTAGTATTTTGAGAAAAGTCTAGGCTTTGCGATACTAACTGTTTGAGCGCCTATAGTTTTATCCACGTTAAATCACACTTAAACTCTGTTATCGAGACTACAATGGTGGTGACCAAAAAGCCTAAGAAACCTCAGTAGGTGGTTTATTCAAGTACCTATATGAAAAGTATTTTGTTAAAAGTTTGTTTGTTTCTTTAGGGACCAATACTACCTAATAACTGTAATATGTGTTAAAAGCCCTTACCTATTAATAACCTAAAATCCTTCATAAGTTATATCATTGACCTGGAAATGACTTGTGATGTAATACCACAAGTAGTTTCTCTGTCAAGATACACGTACATACATACATTTAAATAGAGATATATAGATAAACCATAATTTTATTCTATCTACGACTGTCGAGGAAAGAATTAGGTATACAAGATGTTGTGTATACATATTTTTCTTTTGAAATTGCTTCTCCGTTAGTGATGCTATAAAACAAAGACTACTTTGGTGTGTAAGAATCACATTATCGTATTTGTTTCCAATCCGATTTAGCCATAAAAGCCGTAATAAGAATCGGTAATGCACACATTTGTATTCAACTCTAAAGCTTTAGTGTGCAAATTACTTATTATTGTCGACAGACGGGTCAGTTATTTGCAAGATATCGAAAGTTTATACTCAATTTGTTAGCAATAATTTTTTTATTTTATTATTTTCGGAATACCAACAGCATAAAATACACTTTCTAGAAACTAAAAGTAATGACATCGTAGCTATTGTCAAGCATTCGCCAATAGGTTCCAAATGTAAAGCTAACACAAATCACATATATTTATAGAGAAAGTAAAAAAAAGAAAAAAAAACATAGACCAAAAAGTTTATGCTATTAGCTTATCATATTAGGATTGGAGCCAAAAATACCATAACAGTTGAGTAATATAGTAAAAAAAACCTCTTTACCTTTCGATATTTTACTTCTGACGGTACTTTGTTTCTAGATGAAAGAAGTTCTAAGTCTTCTAACCTGAACGTTGAATTGGTATGAAAGCGATACAAACAGGCAAATAAACTCACATCTGCATGTTCGGATAATACTTTATTAACGTCTGGTGAAATAAATAAATTAAAATAAACACGCATTAGTATCGATTTCGGAAGCATTAAAAAGTGTCGGGGTGTCTCTTCGTCGGGTGACGGAGGGCACGGGCGGTCACCATTCTGCAATAATATATTTAAAGGATTAGCCCCGCGTCGCAATATCGCGACCCTCCTCCAGTCCCATGCGCCCCGCCGCGCTCGCTCGCTCGCCGTCCGCTATTCAAATAATGGAAATTATTTCCACATATGTGCACCTAAATAAATATCATTCCGACGTCATTATTGAACACCCTCAATGTTTCTGTAGAGTTATTTTCACCCGTTTGTTCGCGGTCTGAATGGGAAGAAGCGGACGAGTAAAGCTTTTTGTTTTCGTAATGAAAGTGGGGGCACTTTAATTGTTTCATTGTTAGTCTAATAATATGCATTAGTTAATGCATTACAGCGTCTGTATTCTTACTACCTTTTGCACTCAGATCTAGAAATCTAGATAAAACCCGCGGTCAACCTTCGTCAACTTGTGTACGAAACATGCGCTCATGCGAATTTGTGAAATTTATGTTTCGAAAAATAAACGATTGTATATGGGGTGGAAACGACCGTTTATGTTCACTTAACCGAGGAAAGAGGGTATTATTTACCGTTTCGGCTGGGTGAACCCGCCACAGTGAGTGAGACAAATACCGCCAGCGGCACAATATTTATTGCAGTCGCTACGTGGATTGCGCAATTTATCGTGGAGGTGTCGTCGGCGCGATCGATCGTCCTGTGACGGACGTTTGCCATATATCACCACACGCGTTATCTGCGCTCAGGGCGACTTATCACCGCGCGCAGGCACCGTACCACTCTGCCTCCGGCTTATGCCTAAATAACAACATCGATTGAGGGGCCGAAGATCCTTTGCAGTGCTGTCCTAGTAGCCACTCATTTATTGTGGCTCGATCAAGTCGCGGCGAGTGGTGGCTTGCTGTCTCGCCCAACCGCGACGCTCGTTTATCTTCATTTCGCGGCCGCAATTAGACGGGTCGTTGGCTGCGGCCGGCGCCGGGCGGGGAGCAGTCACCGCACTACGTGGCGAGAATACGGCGCATAGTCGCTCTGTCAACTTTGTAATGAGTAAAGTTGATAACTACGCAACGCAAGTCGCGTCCACATTCTGAATCTCATTAAAACTTGTATATTCGTCGTCAAATCACCGGTGACTTAATTTACCTATCTTCCATCGATTTTTTACTGACGAAAAGGGACACAACTTCACTTCTAAATCTTTTTCAGGACAATTTTTTTTATTTAAATGTACTTTTTTTGTAAATTAAGAAATATTCTTAATAAAATATTTGTTACACAGGTATGGTTTAAAAATCGAAGAGCGAAATGGCGAAAACGTGAAAGAAACGCGATGAATGCTGCCGCTGCGGCCGCTGTGGATTTCAAGAACGGCTTCAGCACCCAATTCAACGGTCTAATGCAGCCGTTCCCCGATACAGACGCGCTCTATTCATCTTACCCTTACAACAACTGGGCCGCGAAAGTACCGAGCCCTCTAGGTACCAAGAGCTTTCCTTGGCCGGTAAATCCTTTAGGCGGCGTGGTTCCAGCTAGTCATCACCAGGGATCGGTAAATTGTTTCAACACCGCGACATCGATGGGAGGCGTCGGGGGTGGAGGTATGGCAGTGGCAGGGTCGGCAGGTGGAGGAGTCGCGCCATGTCCCTACACAGCTCCACCTAACCCCTACAGTATGTACCGAGCTGAGCCGTGCACGGCAATGTCATCGTCGATAGCGTCGCTGCGACTAAAGGCAAAACAACACTCTTCAGGCTTTAGCGGAGGGTACGGTGCGGTGTCGCCGGTTTCGCGCGCAGGCTCAGCACCGCTGGCCGCATGCCAATACGCGGGCGGCGTGGGGGTGTCGGACCGAGTGCTCTGAGAGGAGGCGCGCGGGCGCGATGCGCCTCGCTCACCGCCGCCGCTGCGCGCATCCTAGTCGCCGCCCGCGCACCACTCGCCGCCGCCACAGCCCATCGAGCACCCGCTCTACAGGCATCTGTGGGACTGGTTCGACTGAGTATTTTGGTCGGTATGCAACGCAGGCAACTCATTAACTACATGCTGAAGTCGTCAACTAACAGTAGGTGAATGTATGAAGTGGTTTGAAGTTGAGAGACTTGCTTGTCGTGCAACAAGCCATGAACCTCGGCGGAGACTAGCGGTGCGGCGGGATGCGTACGCATTAGTGGACTGGATCCACATTTAGTTATAAAGTTCGATAAATGAAACTTCGGGCAATAAACTTAACGACGTTGTTCTAATGTAAATATGTAGTTATGTACGTACGTATACCAAAGCGATGTGTGCAATTTTTACAAGCTTACAATGTACTACTTTAGTGTAAGTGTTTAGCATTTAGAACATTGTATATAGGTATAAATGAATTTGATAATTTATTTGAAAATGAAATAATGAGTATTTGAGGTCATAACAGTGAATACTATAGCAATCATTAGTTAATATTGTTGTTTGAAATGTTCATTTGTTGTGTTATGTTGAGCCGAATTGCATGAAGATTCAGCTCCCGCAATATTCTTTCGCATTTATTACATGGTTATCTATGCATATCATACATATCAATATTTTGAAAGCACTGATCAATGTGTGAATATAATGAGCTGCAAGCGTCTCTCAAGTTGTGTTACAGTACAAAGTTTGTAAAATACCAATCAATTTATATAAATACATAGTTGTAAGATATTTTCTTACTATCTCATTCGGAATTAGTTTTGTTAATATCTTGGTAATGTATTAAAGTTCGTTGGCTTGTATTGAACGTTTGGTTTTAAAAATCTTATCTTGTAAATAAGCGATGTTATATAAAAAAATGTAATTGTGACATTACTAAACGGATAATATACTTCTATGGCAAGGCTAAGTGGGATGGTAATTAAAGAGTTATAAATCAGCTCAAAATACAGCGAATGTTTATTTTTTATACTTGACAATCAGATGAAGAACCTGTTGTATGAATTTCTTCCGCTTCTTTAAAAACTTAAAAGATTGAAGCGACTATTTAGAAAAATATTTAAATTTATTTTCTTGAATTAATTTTATTTTAATCCGGTCGAGGTCGCCATATTATAGTCTTTGAACTTGACATACTTCCATTTCTATGATATCACTATCAGAACAGTCATAAAAATTTAAATTGACATTGTTTATATATATTTCTTCCTTGCTAATGCACAATTTAAATTTACAGAGTGTTTAATTGCTTAAATACTCTAAGTAAAAACTTATTAAATATTAGAAATGACATAAAAGAGACTGAGGAAAATATTTCCTAAAAAGCTCTGAACTTAGAATATATAGTTCATTGTTAAAAAGCGGTATTTTAAAGATAATTTTGAAATGGCACAGTATCTAATTTACATTTCTTTTTATAATGTAATGTAATATAATTTTACACGTTTATTGTAGCACCTAGGTCCGCTAAAGTTGTTAATGCACTGTTCTTTCAAGATCACTTACAGTTGACAGTTGCAGAAAATTTTCATCAGACTACTTTCATCAGATTGTCTATAAATATATACTCACCCTAGAATACTGAAAAATACCAAAACATTTTTAAAGATTTAAAAATAGAAATATCAATTCAAAGCAGTAAACAGTCTTGAGTACATCAGTAAATCAACTGATCGAATACATTTCTCGTTTTGGAGACTCTCTTTTATGATAGTTCCAGTTTTGAGGGGCAATGTAAACAGCTGTAACTCAAATAGCCGCCAATACTGAGATTAACGTAACCAGGATCTCAATATTTATTAAAATATTTATAATACTTAAACACCGTTTATGAATGTAACTGTAAAATATTGTAACTATTTAGACGTAAACATTCATTAGTTATATAAAAATTAGTTTAATACACGAACTAGTATAATCTACTTCCGTGTGCCTACACAGTGCAGGAAATATTAAATTATGCAAAATAAAAATGTAAATAATATATAGATTTGACCTAATAATGTTAACGTGAAATTCGAGGTTTTCATTTTATACATATCAAAACAAAATATCTGCAAACATAAATAGTTATTTGAAGTTATTTTGTGAATAACCATTAAGGAAATACCGATTGTTTTGTAACTTAAAAAACCTCTAGTCATAATAAAAATATCACTGAGTAAGTTTTATTGTATTCTTTATTTACCAAGTAAATTTTGACCCATTTATTTCCAAAACATTATATTCCACGCTTTTTAGATTGCGTTTTAGGTAAACTTAAAAACAAGGTGTTTACTTAATTTAACGTCAAAGGCTAAAAAAAGCTATGCAGTTAATACGTTACATAATTATTATTATTTTAAAAAGGCTACTCCTGCACTAGGAATATATAATATCCTATGTCGCGGGGACTATACAAACATACATGAAAGGGACACAAAGAACACCCAGACACAGAACTACAATTTGTGGATCACACAAGGTGTCTTCCCATGTGGTGATCGAACCCACAACAATCAGCGTGGCGACCGCTTAAACCACTACGCCAATCCGTGCAGTCCATAAGGACTGCTACTAAATGTCATTTCAGAAAAGTTCAACATGTTTGGATTTTTAAAGCCTGACATAAGTATGCACAGCATTAAAACCTTGCCTAGGAATGCAACACTAAGCACGATCATGCCCATGTGAATTGGCACATGTTAAGGAGCCATGCTGCCCAGCACTGACACACATACAAAGACACAGTTTAAGCTTATGACACCTCTCTTTGTTGCATGGGAAGTAGGGAATTAGTGTGGATGGTAAGATAAATACTATTACTATTTACAACAACACTTCACAACTATTACAAATATATTGTGTAGTGAAAAATTAGAAATTCAAACAAGAACATTTCATATTATGGAGTAAGTTAACGAGGCTTTAGGCCCTTCACGGACTACAAAAGAGGGATGAAACTGATGGACTGTTGGCAAGTATATGTTTACGTTAAGTGCGATATATAATCAAAATTTGAAGCTATTTTATTTATAGTATAGGGGGGCAAACGAGCAGACGGATTACCTGATGGTAAGTGATTAACGCCGCCCATGGACACCTGCAAATCAAGAGCCATAGAGTGCGTTGCCGTCCTTAGAGCCTCTTCCCCCTAATCTTTAGGGAAATGGACGTTGGACTGGATGGTAACTTCACTTACTGTTTGAAGGGCAACAAAAAAGGAGGCCGTGGTACGTAGGTCACTATATAAATTTTGAGACTCGCAAAAAGTAAACATTATTATATTTACAATTTATACTTTATTTTTTCAAATATCACTCTCTATTCAAATTTCCATCCGCCTAAACCAGTCTTGGAAACAATTATTCCATCTTTCTCCGAAAGATCAAAATGATTGATTTGTAGGCAGCCACCGCTTCTTTGGCATTTAAAAAAACTTACCTTTTATCTTATCTTTTATGGTGGGGAATAAAAAGAAGTCACAAGTCGAAGTGTAAGGTGGGTGAGGCAGGGTTTCAAACTCAAACTCTCTTTATTTCATTTTTTTTTAATTGTTTGTAATCGTCTTTTATGTAGACTCTAAAGTCATAGATCCACACACACAAAAGCAACAATATCTGTTTTGTCAAATAGTAAGCAAATAAATTTAACAAAAATCAAACCCATACAAAATCTATGATCTGCCTGTGCCGATCTACAACCGCCCGTTTCCAAGGGGTTGAGCCTTATGAGAAGAAAGGGCAAACAAACTCAAGGACAATAGAAATTTTTTTTATAAACACCGTTGGTCTGAGGGAAGAGTGTGAAGACGCAAATTAGTGGTGCAGCATCATTCCCCGGAGCTCGGCCTTTGGTCATCTCTCTTGTACAGCTTTTAAAACTTTTGGCAATGCGACTGTAGTGCACCATTCCGAGTTTACAGACGTACAATTCTATAGCATTGATGTTGCCAGATGTCTACTCTGTTAAAAAATCGTGCCACCATTTTTTTGCCAATGTTTTGCGGTATTTGCAATGTTGTTGGTAACGGGCCATCTGGAATCACCCATCGCTTCTTGCTTTCTGGATGAAATTGATATATCCATGTTTCATCGCCAGTAATGATTTAAGTAAAACGTTTTGACCTCCCATTTTCAAAACGCAGACTTTAGACTGTAGAGAAACTTATTCCGTTTCGGTGAGCAAACGAGGTATCCAATGACAACAAAGCTTTCTCATTCTAAGATGTTCATATAATATGGTGTGAACACTAACCGAACTAATTGATGTCTCAGATTTTCTCCATGTCACTGTATGTCATTCGTGGGTCATCTCACACAATCATTTCAGTAGTCCACATTTTCAGCAGTGACTGCTGTTTGTGGGCGTCCACTTCTGTCATCATCTTCAAGGCTAGTTTTCCCCCTTTTAAATTTATTAACCATCTAAAAATGGCTACCCGAGAAGGAGCAGACTCACCTAAACTGTTCGATTTTCAAATAAATTCCGAGCATATCAAAACTTATATAGTGACCTACGTAACACTCCGGTCGTTAACACACAGTTCGTTTGCTAAAACTTCTGTATAGGTTTAGTTGATTAAGTAAATATTATGTAAATTTAGATAAAATTATGATAAAATATACCAAAATTAGCTCTGAAATCTCGAAGTTAACTAAGACCTATACATTAATCACATTGCAATCAGTATACACAAGGGTTCCTAGTTGTACTCTGGGTCCTTGCGTATGACGTCCATTAGGTAATTGTGACGAAACCACATCAATCGTGGTCTATTCAAATGAGTAGTAGTAATATAGAAGTTTATTGTCCAGACTCCGAATCAGATATGTTTACAAGTTATAATTGGTACAACGGGTCTTCGATCGTAAACTTCACACAAATTTCACATAACACTACAAGTTAATTGATATGCATACTGAGTAGAGC